GCTGGAATGCTGTGGCACAATCACAGCTCACCACAGCCTCGACCTCCTGGGCTCAGGTGATCTTTCTGCCTCGGCCTCCCTAGTAGCTGGGACTACAGGTGCACATCAACAGGCCTATCTATTTTTTATTTTTATTTTTATTTGTAGAGATGAGGGCTTGTTGTGTTGCCCAGGCTGGCCTCAAACTGCTGGGCTCAATCAATCCTCTCACCTTGGGCTCCCAAAGTGTTGGAATTACAGGTACGAGACACTGCGCCTAGGTGGCTGCAATTTTGAGTGGAATGGCAGGAAGAAGCCTTGTTAAGGGGCCATCTGAGACACACACACACAAAGAGGGAAGGAGATAGCCATGCAGGTATCTGGAAGAAGAACACTCTGAACAAAGGGAACAGTCAGTGGCTTTGTTTGGAGGAGAGTTCTAAGGGGAGTGAAGCATGGACACCAGTAAGAAGACTGCTGCAAGATAATGAGGGGCGCACACCAACAGAGGCTGTGGGGATGGAGAGAGATTCAGGAGGCGAAGCTGGCAAGACTTGGTGCCTGCTTTGTTATGGGAGGCACAGAACTCCTCCAGGCATATTCTCTGAGTCCTCTTTACAAGGGTACAAAAGGCAGGTAGTGAGAACGTGCAGTACAATCTACCCTGGACGACTCCACAGTCCACCAGGATGCTCCCTCCTTCACCCTCCTCAGCCTCTTAACTCACCAACATTTTCAGTAGCCCTTCCTGGAGCACCCCCCTTCATCCCCCAACCCAGCTTTACACTTTTATGTCCACAAACAAATCCTTTCAGTTCCTAAACTCTCCAAACTACTAATTCCTTCTTCCCACCCTTTAGGCACTGTTATGGGTAGAATTGTATCCTCCTTCTCAACCCTCCCCAAATATATTGACTTTCTAACCCCCAGGACCTCAGGACGTGACTTTACTTAGAAATAGGGTCTTAGCCGGGTGCAGTGACTCCAGCCTGTAATCCCAGCACTTTGGGACGCTGAGGTGAAAAGACTGCTTGAGCCTGCGGGTTTGAGACCAGCCTGGGCAACATGGCGAGACCTTGTCTCTACGATAAATAAAAAATTAGCCAGGTGTGGTAGTGTGCATCTGTGATTCTGGCTACTTGAAAGGCTGAGGTAGAAGGACTGCCTGAGTCCAGCAGGTTGACGCCGGGGTGGCTGTGAGTGTGCCACTGCACTCCAACCTGGGCGATGGAGTAAGACTCCAGCTCAAAAAACAAAAAGAAAGAAAGAAAGAGAGTCTTTACAGATGTAGTCAAGTTAAAAATTAGGACATTATGGTGGGCACTTATCCAATATAATGGTGTCCTTACAAAATTTGGACACAGAGACAGACACAAAGGGAAAATGGTGTGAAAACACAGGGAAAATGCCACGTGAAGACAGAGGACCGGAGTGAGTAGCTATCAGACAAGAATGCCAAGGAATGCTGGCAAACTACCAGAAGTGATGAAGAGGAAAGAAGGATTCCTCTACAAGTTTCAGAGGGACAGTGGCCCTGCCAACACCATGATTGGGGACTTCTAGTCTTCTAGAACTGTGAAACAATATTCTGCTGTTCTAAGCCACCTAGTTTGTGGTACTTTGCTATGGCAACTGTAGGAAATTAATTCAGCTACAATGCTCCTATTCTCCTAGGGTACACCATCTTGCCCCACCTGAGACATCTTCATGGGGGCCTCCAGGTCCTGACCCGTTCCCTCTCTTCACTTCCCTCCCAACTCCATCTGGATGTCTTGGCCCTTCCCTCCATGCACTCTGTCACTAGTCTCCTCACCAATCTTCCATCATTCTACCTGCTTTGATCTCAGTCTGGAAGAAGCAGCAGTCCTTACCTGTCCTGTGGGTGTTGCTGGAGCTCACACACCCTGGCTAAGGACACTAAGTACAAGTTCATAGTCTCCAGCCTAAACTGGGCTTTTAACGCTGCCTGATCACCCTCATGTACCCTCAGCCTCTTAACTCACCGTCTTCAGTAGCTCTTCCTGCAGCACCCCCTCCCCCCAGCTATCCACTTTTATGTCCACAAACAAATCCTATCAGTTCCTAAACCCTCCAAACTAATCTGGAGCCATGTCTCCAAATTGCAACAACTATCGCACACTTCTTTCCCACCAGCTTCCTCATCTCACTCTGGGCTGAGGCGCCAGACTCTTGCTTCAGGAAAGGCCTTCTGAACCTCCTCCTGTCCCACCTTCGCCTCCATACCGCCTCAATACACATCCATCCTCAATTCCTTCCCTCCTGCTACAGGGCGGTATACCTCCTCTTCCCTTTGGGAGGCCCTGACCTCCATGTTTCTGGATCCCATTCCTTTCCCAACTCCCACCCCCTCCAGGAGCCTCATCCTGGGACTCTAATCCACAATCACCTGCATCTTTCCCTACTGGCTTCCTCCACTGGCCTATAAGCATGTTCAAGTCCCTGTCAGTATATTTCAAAAAGCAAAAATGAAAAAAACAACTCTCTCTGTACTCCACATTCTCTCCAGTTATCACCTCTCCGCCCATTCACAATCCAGATTCTTAAAAAAGCTGTTTCAACTTCCTTGCCTTGACATAATCTTTTCTGTGCCAAGACATAATCTCTTCTGAGAAACTAGGGAGCCAGAAGCCACATTGCAGTAGTGGAAACTAAAGAATTATACACAACTTTTGTACTCCTACACTTAGTCAGACTTTCTGATTCCAAAGGGCTTACCTCTCTGTGGTCCCCTCCCTGCCATTCCTCCTGCAGGCCCCAGCCGGGCTCTGTCCAGGCCAAAGAGGGAGGGAAAATGCCCCTCTTGGGACTCCGGAGCTTGCAGTGCCCCTTCAACACAGGTCACCATGCTTATTCTTTGTGATCTCTCTATGCTGACCACAAGCAGAAGGGATGCTGAGCCAAAGATGATAGTCTGCAAGGTAGCCTGGCCCCACAGCTCTGGAGATGGCAGAAGACACACAAGTGAAGATGTTCAGAGAAAAAGAAATACCCAGAAGCTGAGAGGGAGTAAAAGCCCTGAATTAGCTACAAGAAGGGAGAAGTCGGTCAGTTGCTGGCAGCAAGGCACTTGGGTTACCACTACAGCGGCCATATTCGCCTTTATGGTCATGCTTCATGACCCTCCATATTTATTTTTTTATTAGTTGAAGTCTCACTCTTGCCCAGGCTGTGCAGTGGCATACTCCCGGCCACCGCAGCCTCGACCTGCTGGGCTCTGGTGATCCTTCCACCTCAGCCTTCCAAGCAGCCAGAACTACAGGTGCATGCTACCATGCCTGGCTAATTTTTTATTTATTGTAGAGATGAGTGCTCCCCAAGTTACCTGGTCTCGAACGCGTGGGCTCAGGCAATCCACTTGCCTCAGCCTCCCAAAGTGCTGGGATTATAGGTTGAGCCAACCGAGCCCAGCCAACCCTCCATATTTGAGGCCTGGCTGGGCAGCTGCTATTTCATCTCTCCTAATATCCTCTGTATCCTCATTACTGCCCCTCCCTCAGAGTCCTACACATTACTGAGGGCTGACCTGTCTTAGAAAGCAAAGGATGCAGCGGTTAAGGTTTCAACCGTGCCTGCTGGCCCTATGGTTAGTTACCTCACCCTTCCTATAAGCCTTTAGTCCCCCAACATCTCAATCCCCCTGCTTGGTCTCAGTCAAACATCAACACCCTCACAATGCTGGGCCCACCCTGCTACAAAGTGAGCCCAGAAAAGCCCCAGCCTTCCGCTTTCCTCATGACTGGATACCCTACATTGGGGAAAGAAAATCTCGAGACACATGGGAGACTCAATTGATTAAACTCTTCAGAGTTCACCACTACCCATAGTCTTACTCTCGTTACTGTGTCCCCCTTCCCTGTAGCATGTGGGAAGGGACTGCTATGAAGAGTGACAGGTGTGGGGTCCCTGGCTACTGATGTAACCTTTACCTCTCCTTGTGCCCCTGACCTCACCATGGTGAATCTGAGAACTTACAGTCAAGGTGCAAAAGAAAAGGAGCAGCAGGGGGTAAAAAGGCACAGATAAGACCAGGAGATGTGGGATTGAGTAAGATTTTAAGATAGGAAAAGCATGTTTGTAAACTGAGTCATTAATGATAAAAGCAATGAACAGTTAATAGCACTATGTGCTCAGAGGGTATCTAAGTGTCATATACGGGTATTTCTTTCTTTTTTTAAAGCAGGATTTATTGAGAGGACAGAAAAGCTCCCACAGTGGGAGGGGACTTGAGGGGGTTGCCTTTATATGTGTATTTCTTTATTTAACCTCATAAAAACTATGAGGTACACACTATTGTATCCCTGTTTATGCATGAGACCACTAAGGCACAGAGCAGTAACTTGCTAGTAAGTGGCAGATCAGGACTCAAACCCAGGCAGGCTGATGCCCGAGACCATGATCTTTTTTTTTTTTGAGTTGGAGTCTCACTCTGTCGCCCAGACTGGAGTGCAGTGGCCGCTCTCGGCTACCGCAGCCTTGGCCCACTGGGCTCTGGCGATCCTTCTGCCTCAGCCTTCCAAGTAGCCGGAATTACAGGTGCGTGCTACCACACCCGGCTAATTTTTTTATTTTATTGTAGAGATGAGGTCACCCCTGGCTAATTTCTTGATTTACTGTAGAGATGAGGTCTCACCAAGTTGCCCAGGCGGGTCTCGAACCTGCGCAGGCAATCCACTCACCTCAGTCTCCCAAGGTGCAGGATTACAGGCTGAGCCACCCAGCCCGGCTGAGTCCATGATCTTAATCACTAGACTATATGCTGCAGATGGAGAAAACGCCTGATTTGACAGCGTCCCTAAATCAGCCCACAGCAGGTACAAACTGCCACCCGGAGGCCTAGATACATTCAGGTTACGGACTGAGGCTTCTTATTAACACTAGATCCTCCCAGCACCAGCCTGAGCCTACCCTTATTTTGTCCCCAGCCCATGAGCTCCAAAGGCACAAAGGCAGGAACTCCCATTCCTTTAATACCACTTCCACACAGCAGGCTGAGCCAAGGCTCATCAGACAAATGGGCAGAAACTTTATTGTCTAAATCCCTCCTTGGACCTCTGTCAGAAGGTAGATCACACACACGGTAGGTAGAAGGCAGAATAAACCTTTCTTTAGCAATCCAGAAGTCCACAGAGACCCTACGCCTGTCACTCTTCATAGCTATCCGTTCCCACATGCCAGAGGGAAGGGGACGCAGAACAGGGAGACCCACTTCTGTGGACTCAAGCCTTGACAGGGCTATTGAACAGTCACAGGGCTTCTCGGAGAAGGCACAATCATCCCAGATATTCAGGTCTGGAGAACAGCCTGGCTCAGCAGGTCTTCAGGACCGGGTGTCTCGAGCCCTTCGTCGGGGTCGGGGGCCACAACTGGAGCTAGGCATGGAGCCCAGGCCAGGGGGTGCCCCTGGAGGTTGGTAGCCACATTCATTGGGGTCCAAGGGGTCCCGACTGAGCAGCACCCACACTGCAGGCACGTGGCGGCGCACTGTGAGGGGGTCTAGTCCTGTGTCAGGTGAAGTGGGGACCCAGCTGTCCTCAGTCTGCAGGAAACTCAGTTTGGTGAGCTGGTGCAGACCTGGGACGCGGCGCTTGACAATCTCAGCGCAGCTGACAGCCTTTCCCGCAGCCCTGCCAGAACCTGAGAACACCACATGCCGGGCACCGCCGCCCTCCAATCGACCCAGCGCCAGTCCCAGCAGGTTGCGAATTTTGCTGCCATCTCGGACCCGCATCTCCAGGGTGTCAGGAGGTAGCTGGGGCATTGGGGAAGGTGCTGGGAGCTCTACGGATCCAGCTTTCCGGTAGTGCTCCATCCTGCTTGCGGTCTCCTCTGTGACTCTCGCTGTCCACTGCAGGGAAGTATCAGATGAGTGCTAGGCAATGTGCCCCAGGTAATCGTCCACCCCCCTCTCCACTTCCCTTCAGGGTATGGCCCTGCTCCTCATTCCAGACTTCCCAGCAACAGGATCAGAGCCTCTCATCCTTAGCCGGCAGGGTCATGCCTGCCTCAGCCAGGGGAGGGGCCGTACCCCATACACCCCGTTCCTCTACGTCGGGCCATAACACCCCCGCCCCCAATCCTGGAGTCGTCTCTGAGACAGGCCCCAATTCCCCGAACACAGATCTCTGGGGCAGGGCCGGGCCCCTCATCCCAAGGGACCGAGCCCACCTGGACCTGGGCTCCCTGGGACGGGGCCCAGACCCCACCTCAGACTAAGAGCAAGACTGAGCAGTCCTCACGTGGGGCTCTACAAGGATAGGGACAAGGCCCCCTCGCTTTGTGCTCCCAGAGGGCAGGGCCAAGCCCCTTCGCTCCAGACTCCCCGGGCAACTGCCAGGAGCCCTTACCCAGTGCTGCCCCAAAACGGAACCGACTCCCTCCCCCGGATCCCCAGGGCAGGGACGAGACCCGTCGCCCAGAGACGACCAGGGTCACTCGGAAACTCGGGAGCAGAGGCTCGCCGCGGAAGGCGGCCTGGGCTGCTCCATCTCCACCGCCACGGGCCCCTTCCCGGGTCCTGCGGGCCCCTCCCGCCCCACCTCCGAGCGCCCCCAGCCCCGCCGGGTTCTGGCTCTCACCGCGGACGCCACGAGCTCGAGCGGGAGCCAAAATGGCGAGGGGCCGGGAGCGCGCCGAGGCCGCGGGGACGCGCACGCCAGGCGGGGGCGGGGCCTGGGGGAAGGGACCCGGCCGCGCTTCCGCCGGGGAAACGGGACCGCCGGGACGCCAGGTGTCGGGGGACTGGGAACACGCGCGCAGCCTCCGCCGTCACGTCGCGGGCAGCGGCACCCCGAACGGGGCGGAGAGAGGCCTTGACCCTGAGAAGATGGGAGGGCGGTGTAACCTGCCGAGCAAAAGTGGCACAGCGGGTTCCACCGTAGATACAGAGGCTCTGTGGAGGGACCGCTGCTGCGGGCCCACAGCCGTCGTCACCGACTTGTGAGCTCGACCTCATCCTGTGGGCACTGGCGAGCCACGGGGGGTTCTCCCGGGGACAGCAGGACCAGATCTTGTGCCCAGCGCCCGTGGTCACAGCGCAGGGAGTGGCGGGGAAACCGGGCCGCAGGCCCTGGTGACGCCCGGCCCCGGAGGCTGTGGGCGCGGTGTCCACGGAGGCCAGTACGGTGCCCGGCGTACGACAGACGCTCAAATATTTATCAAACGATTTGTTGTATCAATGAACCAGAGAAATGGCAGTGGGGATGGAGAAAAGATTAAGTTGGGAGATACTAGCAGGTAGTTTCGGTGAAGAGTTGGCGACTGTTTGGACGGAGACATAGGGAATTTTGAGTCTAGGATGACCCCCAGGTCTCAGACCAGCTTGAACACGCTGAATTTGAGGTGCGGGTGAGACCGCGCGGGTGGGGTAGCCAGCAGGCAGGTGGAAAGGGTCTGGAGCCGAAGCGCTTCCCGAGGCCACACGGGGGCAGCAAACACTAGTGGAGTGCGGTGCCAACCCACTGCTCCAGTCTCTTCCTCATGCTCGCAGCGCTCCTCCTTCCCAACTTCTCCCCAGAACCTAAAACTTCCTGCATCCATTTCTCATAGGCTCCCCTTTGCTAGTGGCACCTGGTGCTCTCTTCCAGAGCAAGGCTCCTCTCTGACTTTGCTCTGGAAGTCTCTGCAGATTACTCACCAGGGCTGCCTGTTGGTGCTTCTGCCCGCACCTGGTGGGACTGCCCTTTTCCTTGACTGTCTCCCCTGCTGGCCTGTGCAAGGCAGGGATTGGGTGAGCTCTACATGGCATCTGATATTTGGAGGGTACCTGGTACACGTGGGATAAATTGATGTCTGAAGAAATGTCCCATCAAATTTGAGAGGATTCATCTTGAGAGCTCGTCACCTCCCAGAAAGCCAGAACAGGATGAATACAGTTCCCAGTCCAACCACCAGGCAGGCTGACAACTCTGACCTCCACCACCACCATCCTCACCACCAACTCTGACCTAGACCAGGAAGCCAACACATTCCTCCCGTGATCTCTATGATTTATTGTCACTGGAATGAGAACACTCATGGGGGTGGTAAATTACAAATCTCAGGTAACCTGACCTCTAACCTCAGAACCCTACCTGAGAACAGTGGGCCTTGAATCCAATAAATACAAAGCTACCTCTGCCTTGTTACAAAGGCAGATTGGCACAGGGCCCCGGAACCTGGCTGCTGTGGCACATACTGGGATGGGAGCAGCTGTCATTCTTCTGCTGGCTTCACTTGCTTGGCAGCCTCTAACTGGCAAAGTAGCTCATCCCACTGCACAAATTGCTTGGAGAGAAGCATTGTCTGGTTGCAGGTCAAGGTGAGAATAGAAGTCTGAGTGAGGAAGTGGGTGGGAGGGAGTGGGGGAGCAGGGAAATAGGCTGGTTGGGATGAGATGAGAGAGGTAGAACAAAAGGAGAGGGCTAGGGGACAGCACCCATTAGGGGCCTAGCTGAGCAGAAAGGATACAGTCTTGTTGTATTCCTCCAGGAGAGCTTTGGACTCCTCAGTGATCTCCATACACTGGTCCTGCACAGCCAAAGTGTGGCCGAGAAGGGAGCTGGGCAAAGCCCCTAGCTTCCACTGACTTTCCTGCCTCATGAGGAACCCTCACTCTCCATAGAGCCTACAAAGGTAATGCTTAACCCCAGAGCCAAAGGAGCAAATGGCTAAGGGCACTTTCAGGCTCCACAATGGGTGCCCTAAAAGCAGTGCAAAGAAGATAGACGGAAGAGTGGGCCACACAGTAAACATGCCCCATAGTATATGTCTCCTCCTCTGTCCCTACTTCTGAAACCTCTTTGAACTTTACACCAGGGCCTGGGAATAGTGAAAAAAGAACTCCTCCGCCCACAGTCAAGGACATACCATCCCCAGGAATTCTTGGGTGCCTCCCAACCTCGACCTTATGGTGTCTCAGAATAGCTCTATTCTGGGAGGCAGGAGGCCACGATATGGCTCTAGGCATGTCTCTTACCCTCTCTAGGGCATATGGAAGATAAAGGATAAGCCCTGAAGTTTCCCCTTAGCTGACATTGGAAGGGTCTGAAGCTGCTTCCCCAGGTGGCATGAGTGGGGATGAAGTGCCACACCACCCTACCTTCCCTCTTCTAGTCCTCTCCCCTCCCATACCTGCTGCTGGATGTGGATCTGGGCCAAGTGCTGCAGGCGGGCGGCATGCTCAGGAACGGCTGTAAAACACAACACACTGTCCAATGATGCTCATGCCCTCCCCCGGGACTGCTCAATAGTCTATTAGGTCTTCGGCAGGATTAGAGTATTGAGTGGAAAAGCTAAACAAACGCCAGGCTTCATCGACCGCTGCAGCTGGAGGTGGTGGTGGGGCTCCCTGCCCACTCCTATCTTACTCCAGGACCCAGAGGGGAGGCGAGGATACAAGTCCCGAGGAGATGACAAAACCTTGGTGCTCCCAGTGTTGCCCCCTGCCTGCCCACTCCAGTGCTTAAGTAAGGCCAGGTAAAGAGAACTTCGGCTACCATGGGACCTATCCCTTTGTTCTCAGCCTAGCGGGGCCAGGTCTGCCTAGCCTAGGGAACAGGGAGCCTGCAGGTGGGCTAAAAATGAATGCCAGGTCCCTAAGTTGGCCACCTAGAATCCCACACCCAGAGCCTTAGCTACCATGCTGTGCCCACAGCTTAGGGCTGTCAGATACTCAGTGGGTAGCTGATCAAGGGCAGGGAGGGGGAACTGGGAAAAATACCTCTAGAGACAGACAAGATGGATATCTGGATTCAATTAAAGTCACTGTCTGCTTGTCAAAGTCCAGGCCCAGGGACTGCTCTCAGCATTGCAGCAGAAAAAATTCATGTACGTTCGTGTACTTGGCAGAGACTCTGGCAGTACAATGTGAGCACCCTGAAGGGGAGACGCTGAGGAGTGGGATAGAAGGCAGAAGGAATTTCCAGAGTTGGAGCTTGTAGAACTTATGCTAGTGTTCTTAGGCCCAAACTGCCTGAGGTCCTAAAACTGGGCTCTCCACCCTGGTAATTTTAGTCCCAATGGAGGTGGCAAGTACCCTCAGGGTGAGGATAAAGAGAGGGAACAGATCCCACTTGAGCCATAGAACCTGAGACACAGGGGTCTTGGCCAACCATCCACCTCCCCAAGCAGAGTAGGGGAGATGCAGCCCAGAGAGGTACCTTTAATGTGAGCACTGTCCAGCATGGGCACCAACGCATCCACCTGCTCCAGGAGTGCAACCTGGGAGAGGATAAACTGTTCCTCTAAAGCAAAACAGACAAGGTAGTAATGGTGAAGCAAGTCTGGGCATTGCTAATCAGTCCACACAAGGGGCTGAGGACCTGGTAGGGGAGAGCTAGGTTCTAGAGTTTTGGGCAGTGGCTCGGTCTACTGCCGTCTTCTCTAAGTGCATATTCCCATCCTGCCCCCACCTCGCCTAGATGCCTCTGGTCTGACCCATCTTGAGCAGAAGAGGCCCTCAATTTCTCCAAAGCCTGCCTTTCCCCAAGTTTTAATTCCAAGGCTTCTTCTTCTAGCCTTCTACCAACAAGTTCAGTGAGTATCTCCTAGGTCATTGGAGACAAAGTAAAAAGGGGACCCCAAAAATACCAAATTATCTTTGGAGGGCAGGCCCCTTGTAATACAGGCTTCACTTGCTAGGTAAGTGTTCTAGGAACCCATTAGCATCAATGTACCAACTAGCATTGTTGTGAGAGGCTGCATTCAGCTTCAGTTAAAATTTTTTTGGAGATTATTTCAAAGTATTTGTCCACTTCAGGATGGGTGATTCACGAGTGTACCTGCCCACAACACACAGAGTGTTCAGCAGTTTTTGACCAAAAGTGGCATGACCCCCTGTGCCCCATGCTCCCTATTCACCCGATCTTGCTCTAAGCGACTTTTTGTTAATTCCTCAGATGAAAAAAGTCCTCAAAGGGAAATGTTTTGCCGATGTAGAAGAAGTGAAACAAAAAATGGCAGAAACACTAAAAGTTGTCAAAATTGACAAGTTCAAAACTGTTTTTAGTGGAAAAGGCATCTCGATAGGTGTATTGCACCAAAGAGTACTTTGAAGGTGACTGAAGTTTAAATATGCAAGAATAGACACAATTTTTTATAAATTAATTCTGGAGTTTTTTTGGTCCCCCCTCATACTTCAGACTCATGTCCCTTCACCCAAGGACTCTCCCAGAAGGTCTGAAAGACATGTGGCAAATTATACTGGGTAGGTTCTGTTCAGTATCTCAGAGGCATAGACAACTATAAGCTGGAGGAGAGCTGGGACAGCAGTGGGAGACTCCAGTGAGGAGAGCAGGATCTGGATGCACAGGGGATTTAAATGAACTGAAATCCACAGAGTAGGAAGAACACTCAAGAGAGAGGACTGTTATGTGCAAATGCTTGCCCATAAAATGGGCAAATGCTTTTTAATTGGTAGAGGAACAGTAATTCAGTTAGCTGAAGTAGAGTAGGGAGAGCACAGAAATCAGGGTTGGATGGGACAGTAGGTCTGACAGACTGGAAGGCTTTGAATGGTAGGCTAAGGAACTAGCACTTTATCCTAGCAAGGAGAGGAGACACTGAGGTTTCAAAGTAGGCAAAGTGGCATGCTGGAAATGTTTTTGTGATTGGATGGGGAGGCCATCTCTGTGCTCAACCTCCCCTACATGTGATTACCTGCTAAGATTCCATGTGTAGGAGGGAAAATAGTAAGGTTGAGAAGATGATTTAGCAGACTGTGCAACTGTTCATGTGTCTGAGGCATTACCACAGGGAGGCATAGAGAAGCTGGATCAAGAGTCAGTACGGGAAAGATCTAAACTTGGTGCCTGTGCGACGACAATTAATCAAGAGCCCTTTGGGAGCTCTGACAGCTCACTCAGCAGGAGTTGCCCATCCTCATCCAGTCCTCATACTGCACTGCACTGATCAGTCTCCTCAGGTCCCTGAAGCAGGGACTTGGTCTCCTCTAGCTCTGGTTGTGCTTATGGGGGCAGGAACTTTTTGGTTCACCATTGTATACCTCATACTTAGGACAGAGCCTGGATCACAGCAGGTGATCAGCAAACATCTTGGATGAATGATAAAGCTCAGAAAACTCTAGCTTATAGGAGTGGCTGACTGTCCATCAGACATTTCCAAAGCAGTAGTTTCTACCTAGAACTCTGAAATCCTAGTGCTTTCTTACATGAAAGAAAGATGTTGAAACAAGTTCAAAAACTGTTTTTAGTGGAAAAAGCATTTTGGTAGGTGTATTGCATCAAACAGAGAGTACTTTGAAGGTGACTGAAGTTTAAATATGTAAGAATAAACACAATTCTTTATAAATAAATACATTTTGGAGTTTTTTGGGTTCCCTTCTCTTTAATGGCAAAGATCTCTGCCTTCATCCTTTCCTAGAACCTCTCCTGTCCAGTAAGCAGAAGTTGAGGAAGGTTCTAAAGGAAAATCGAAGGGGCAGGCTACTGATAGAACATTAGAGTAGCTCCCACTGTGGCTGGCACTCAGTGCCTACTAGAGGATCTACTGACTCTTCAATCCAATGACAGGCCAGAATTCCACAGAGTAGCATCCAAGCAGCTGTATCCATGAGAAGATTGGATGGGGGGGGGCATCTCTGTGCTCAACCTCCCCTACATGTGATTACCTGCTAAGATTCCAGCTTACCTGCTGAAACGAACTGCAGCTTAGAGGCATGTGCAGATTCCAGCTTACCTGCTAGGATGAACTGCAGCTTAGAGGCATCAGGTATGGCAATGCGGTCAATGTACTCAGGATCCAAGTATTTGATCAAGTCTTCAACTAAAAAAGTAGTAAGATGGAAGTGGAACAAATAGGATTGGGGAGTAGAACTATCTTATACAGGATGTTTGGCAAGTGGTCAACCTTAGGGACAACCTTGAGTGAGAAGCTGATATTCACAGTGCCCATAAGCAGGCCTCCACCAGGCTCCCTATCCTCGCTTCCCTGTCTCTCCACTCTCTTCATCTGCTAGCTGACCTCAAGCTTCACCAGAAACACAACTGCCACCATCACCCTGGAGCCCTCAACATTTCCAGTGATCTATCCTTACCAAGGGTAGAAGGTCTCCTTTCCCCTAGGTGTCACCAAAAAAACCCAGAGTTTTGTCTGATTTTTAGTTACTGAGCAGGTTACTAGCTTTGACATAACCAAAAAGGTTTGGCTGAACCAAGGGTGGGGCTCATAGTGCCTAATTTCTTCCTGCCTCTTAACCTTGTCTGAGGAAATCTCATACTCTTTTTGCCCCCCTTCACCAAGGGGAGTTTTTTTTTTTTTAAATTGGAGTCTCACTCTGTTGCCCAGGCTGGAGTGCAGTGGCACGCTCATAGCCACCCCAGTGTCAACCTGCTGGACTCAGGTGATCCTTCTGCCTCAGCCTTTCAAGTAGCCAGACTATGGGAGCGTGCTACCATGTCCAGCTTTTTTTTTTTTTCAATTTTAGATATGAGGTCTCACCAAGTTGCCCAGGTTGTTCTTGAACTCATGGGTTCTGGTAATCCTCTCACTTCAGCCTCCCAAAGCACTGGGATTACAGGCTTGAGCCACTGTGCCCGGCCAAGGGGAGCTTTTAGGCAGAGCTCTTATCCCATAACTTAGGGTATGGTCATGAGCTTGAAGTATATCCACAGGTAGAAAAGCACACTCCAATTCACCAGTTGAATTGGGTATAAGGAAATGTCTTCATATTCTTTTTATCCCCAGATGGCTATTCCAGTGACCTACTGAACTGAAGGACTAAGGCCAGGTCCCAGGAAGTAGAGACATGGAAAATAGGGCAGGCAAGCACACCATGGAAGCACTTACTCTTTTTGTACAGAATCTTCACCCTCTCCCTCTTGCTGGCGATGTTCCCTAAAGCCACTTGTACCTTAACCAAGCCATCAGCCACCTATAACACAAGTGGAGATAAAATCCAAGATACATGTGGCTCAAGGTTTGGAAACAGTAAAGAACCCTCATTCTCCCAAACACCCAAACCTGAGTCCCAGCAATATAAGTTAGTCCCCTTCTCTTATATTAAAGGAGACGCAGCCCAACCTTCAGGGAATTCTTAATATGAAGGGCAAGAGTCATGTATGCCTTGGGGAGTTTCAAGTCTGACTAGGGAGATAATGAACTATTTTAGAATTTACGGAATATATACTATATATTTTCTGGTTCCTAAACTCTGAGTTTAGGCATGAGAAATGCAAGCATTTTCATCCAGGCCTTCATTACCTCCAGACTGACTGGTCTAACTCCAGCCCTATCCCCTCCATGTCAACTCTAGTGTGGGAGATGGAAGAGTCTAAGATGACTAGGATCCCAATGATGGTGCAATCCCTGTACTTGGGAATACAGAAAACAATCAGGTTAGGGGAAATGAATAGTACAGTTAAGAGCACATGGATTGAGTTTGAGATGTCTATTGGATATTCAAGTGGAAAAGTCCAGTAGGTAACTGCCCATATAAGCCTAGTTCTTAGAACAGAAATCTGACATAATAACACTTAATAGTAGCTGAAACTATGGAAGTAAATGAGCCTACCTAGGGTTTAAGCGTAGAAGGTAAGAAATCCCAATATTAAAGGGTGAAATAGAGAAGGGGGCCAAGGAATGAATGCACTCGCCTAGGTTTTAGGGTAAAGGGTGAAAAATGCCAATGGGGAAGCAGATAACACTGAGAAGCAACAGTCAGAGAGGTAGAAGGGAAACCAGAGGGGTTAATGTCATAGATGCCAAAGAAAGAGAATGTTTGAAAAGTTCGTTCTCAAGTGGGAACATAATCTGAGAGTGACAACTAATTCCACAAACAGAAATCATTACCTTGGATGCACTTAGCTCTAGGATATGCCTGACATTCCACCAGAATTTCTTCAGTAAAAGGTCTTCTCATAAGAGAAAGGGGATGGGAAGGCATCTGAGCCCCATAATTGTCAAAATTCAGTCGCTGGTCTAAAGGAGTGTCGGTCTGCGTCTGAATACCCAGTACCCAATCCATTCCCCTCCTAATCCTGGCCCTCTCAGACCTCACCTCTAACCCCTTGGAGCTCTCCTGATCCACATCTGCTTTGCTTCCTCTGGGGTCCCTTCATTTAGCAATTAATCACGCAAGGCTACACGGCGGCACTTCCACTGTGCCCTTAAGCTCTTACTGAAACTGATTAGTCAGTTTCTGGAATGTGTCGGGTCTCCCCAACTAGCCCGCGAGGGCGGGGGCGGAGTCTCAGTCACAGCCGGCACTGAGCCCACTCAGGCTGGCCTAACCACCCGCAGAGTCCCCATGGGAATGGACCCCGAGGATCCAATCCGCTCTGGGAGGCCCTGGACCTTTGCTATTTCAAAGGCCGGGCTGCGGACGACAGGACTGGAGAGGCTGTATCCGTCCCGAGGGCCAGGCCAGCGGATTGCTCCTGCTCTACTCCAGAAAGGGCCCACCGGAGCAGACCTCTCACCTTCCGCGAGCCGCGCGCCCCGCCCGGCCCGTACACCCAGCGCTCCAGCTCTTCCACTCGGGCCTGTAACCGCTGCACGTCAGTCGAAGCCGCCATGTCTATTACCGACCCACCTCAGCCAGGAAACACCAGAGGGCGGGACGTCCGTCCAAACAGGAAGGCTGGCCAATCCGAGAGCACGAGCAGCCCTTAATGCAGGATGTGACGCCACGATACCGTCCTTCAAGTGCCGGAAGTGACTGCTCGGGGCCGACGAATGGTGTCAAAAGCTGTTTGGTTACCTAGACGACGACTGCCCGTCCCGGCCGTACTCTGGCTTCCAGCGCCTGGTTGACAAGGCAACCTTTGCCTCTGAGGTACCAAAGAGGTTTCCCCACCTCGTTCCCTGAGTGTGCACGTCTAAATAGACGTACTGTTCCAGGATAGGTCCCTTACCACAGACACGTTATTAGAAGGCTCCGTGAGTTACCCTGAGGTCCAGGAGATTAAGTGACTTGCCCAAGGCCACCTAACATTATAGTGACAGAATTGGGACTCGAACTCAGGCAGTCTGATTCAAGAGATGGAGCTCCTCTGTTCTTCACTGATATGCCTTCCCCTCTGCCCCTGGCCCAAGGCAGCCTGTGAACTACCATCATTCCTCCCCACCCCCCATCCCCAAAGAAGAAGAAAAGGAGGCACTGGAGAGGGAGGGACTGCAGCTTTATTATCCAGATGTGACCTGAAGAATGTCTCTGTCACATTACCCCAACCCAACCTTTCCCTTAGCTCCTGAAGCAAGGCTGACTCAAAAGGTTGGGGTCCTAGAGATGACATTGACACAGGGGGCACATGAGGAGATGATGGGGCTACTGGGGGAAGAATGCTTTGGTAGATGCTGCTGGAACTGGCCAGGGAAGAGGTGCCCTCCCTTTACAATGAGGTAGATGTGACATCAAAAGAAACTTTGGCTTCAAGTGCACATGGCATGGAGGTGTGTGGCTACCTCCCAGGGCTGGGTCTCAAAGTGGGCACCCTGAAAGAATCAAAGTAGGTGGCTCCTCCTCCCACCCCCAGCATTGGGGTTGGGACTCTTAGTCTCGTCAGGGCAAGGTGCTGGAAGGGGGCCCTGTAGAGGGTGGGGGCGCAGGGTTGGTTGGGCCCTGGGAAGCTGGTACAGGCTGGCGGCGGGCAAAGAGGACACCTGGCAAGGGATTGAGGAGATGGTAGAGGGCAAGCACAAGCAGGAGGGGGTAAGACATGGAAACAGAAGAGGAACAAAAGTAAGTGTCCTGATTGCTGGAACACCACACACCTACCCCTGCCACCAATGAGGACAACCCCTTAGGTCAGTGAGAGACTCCTATGCCAATGCAGATACCCTCAAACAGGTAAGCAAGGAATATTTACACTGATACACAGGCCCATGACAAGGAAGACATCCCATGGTACCCATGCCAGAGAGGTCATGCCTTGGGCCCCATGCCATGTAGACACCCCTTTAGCCCATGCTAGTGTAGCAGTCCCCTGAACCCCATGTTACCCATGCAAGCTTAGATATCCCTGAACCTCATGCTAGTAGAGAAAGCCTAAAATCCCCATGCCAGTCTAAATACTCCTGACCCCATGCCAGTGTAGACAACCTGCAGTACCCATACCAGTGTAGACCACCCCGTTGATCTCTAGGGCCATGTTGATACTGCTGATGCCACTGCCTGCCAGATTGAGGGGCCCATCCAGCCGCTCTTCTGTCCAGGAGGGGGCAGAGGAGTCACATTTTGGGGAATCAGACTTCAGACTTAGAAGTGCCCCCCTCCATCCCTGTAGACAGTCCCCATTCCACTTGAACCCCACACCTGTAATCACAAGTTGTCTATAGAGGGATCTGTCTGCACCCCCCTCCAACACCTATCAGGTGATGGGTCTATCCTCCCTCAGTGTACAGTTCCAAAGCCCCCTTATAGCAAGCCTCTCCTCACCCCTCAGGGGAACCTTGCCACGGGGCAGGAAACTGGGGAGCACGCCAGGTCGAGGAGGGTCCATGGGCCCCATCAGCACAGCCCTCTTCTCTGGGGGCTCCTCTGGTGCCAACTTCTCTCGTGCCGGTCCCAAGGCCAGGCTCACAGGCAGTGCCAGGCGAGGGGTTGGAATTCCACTCTCCTCTAGAAGAATAGGTCATTCAGCTCCCCTGGCCCAACCAGGCCCCCCTAGCCACAGCTGGAGTAGGGAATGGGAAGTGTTGGAGACATCTCTGCGTTTGGTTTTCCCCAAGGCCTGGGGCCAAGAGAGGTCACCCAAACTCATGCACCAACCTATCCCTCAATCTCTGTTACCATCAGAGCCTCCGCCTGGAGGCTCTGAAGCTGTAGAACCTAAAGGACCAAAATATATGTCTAGGTTGGTCCAAGAGAATTTGGAGGACTTTGTGTGTGTGTGTTCTTGGTTATTAAATAATCCAGGTCATACGAGGCAGAAACCTCATGCAAATAGGAGCCCTGGGTGGACAGGTGTGGAGTAGAACTGCTGTGATTAAACGGCCTTTCCCTGACCCTCAGCCCCACACTTCAGAAACCTGTATTCCAGAGCTCTCAAGGTTTTATTGACCCCAAACCCCAGGATCCTGAAACCTGAGTGACCCCAAATCTCAGAGGCCTATCAGATCTTACTACTGCGAATACTTCAATGTCTCCCAACCTCGGAGTCCCCGCATTTTAATGTTTCCTATATCTAAGCGCCTGCCTAGATTTCAGAAACCCTAAACCTCTGCGATTCCCCCAGTTCCCCGCACCTTTCTTTATAGGGCTCGGGCTCAGTTGGGCGCAGGCGTGCGCGGGCAGGCCGGAGGCGG